CAATCAGTGTATGACGGTTCAAATCCCACTCACTATTCGCAAGCTAGTTCAAACGGAAAGTGTCACCTAACTTCCTTGAGTTAACTGGGATTTTACACATTGGCCGTGTTATTAGCTCAGCTACCATTTCTACAATCCCGTATATGTCAAAGTGCAAGCTCGATTTTTTAATTTAGAAAACCGCGGCGCTACCCTATTTTATGTGCCCAAAAGCAGCTTTTGTGCTCTCGTAATAATCTTGTTTTCACTGGTTTCAGTTTTTCTTCTCGACTGTGATTGGTGATCCACCTTTTATTCCATAGCTTCGACCGAAGTCGTCGGTTTGGGTCAATGAGCGCCAGCTGGAAACTAGAACCGACCACCCCAAGCGGAGACAAACCTTCGTTGGCGCTAAGGTAATTGCGCCACATTTTCATTTTTTCCTTTCAAAACTGCGGTAAATTCTGATTAGGATAATTCATGCGCCTCCGGCCGAATCTTGGGGTCACCTGACATCCCTACAGTGTCGATCCTTCAACCGCTCGCTAGTCCTCTAGAAAAACTGACCTCATGTAGTCAGTGAATCTGTACTTCCCATCTTCACTGCCTGCACATTTTGCACCGACCGAAAATCCCGTTTATCGCGTAACTCTTCAAAACTGTTTACACCTGCCTATGGACTCATTCCTGTGCGATTCCATCCACGAATGTTCAACTATTTAAGGCTGGGAGATTGCCACTCTTTATCTTCCGCCACTCCCTCAAGATAACCGTACTGTACCAAACAAATGGGCGATGGTAGAATCCATCCAGGATCGAGCCAATGTGGCTCTTCCAGCTGCTTGCTGTTGACATTCAAAGATGTGGCGGTTAACCGATGTCAGTGGTGCTCATGTCGCCAGTTTCTATCCAGATTGTTTGGCTACCTCTCGAAGGCGTAGGCAGTTCTGATGTTTTTCATAGGCTAGCTCTAGATCCTCTCTCTATTCCGCTTTTTTCTTCACATCGTAACACTTTATTTAGACTAATTGTTATGGTTATACAGCAGTGGAACACCAATACTCTTCTATTGTATTGCTGTCAGTGGTGATAATCATTGTCCTTCTCAGAGAGCCGCAAGCGATGACTCACTGTTTCGTTTACTTGAATGGCTGAATTACATAGGAGCGGCAAATCGAAGGGTGGGCTTCACAATGATTGGTTTGAGCATGACACGAAGGTGCATCTACTGTGCATCGATAACTAGCGGCCCTTGACACCCCCTGTTTGCATATCATTGCTGGTATCTGGTGGTGTCCTCTAGTAGGCAACGAAGCAGTGTCGATGGGTGCTCAATGTAGGCAAGAGGCATAGTTACATGACTAATCCTCTGAGCAAAGGTGAACGTTGGGAATATTTTTCATCTTGATTGCTCAGCTTCTGTTTCACGGTCCACACAGGGCTGATTTTTCCGTACATTTTCATGTCGAATTCTGATCTGCATACGTATCTCGTCCCTTCATCCATTATCCTTCTAGTCGTTCCAGTTCTCCGGCCGTGTCACGTGAATTGCCCTTTAACTTTGAGTAAGTTCCAGTTCGTTTGCAGTCAGCCGGTTTTTCTGGTGACGGTTGTGTATTTCTTTAACTCAACAAAGCAGTCCCTAGCTAACGCAGTTGTACTGGGTCGTGGTTGCATTGCCCGCCTAACTATCTGGCTTTTGTGGAATTTGACGAAACAGATTGAATGCAATCAGGTATAAGTCTTCAGCTTCCTCTGAAATTTGAAGGTCGTGTCCAATGAATACTAACTTGCCAGGTCCGCCTCACGCCTTAGATGCAAGAGATTTTGTAACGCTAACATTCCACGAGACCGAGAGCGTACCTTCTCTACAGGGCATCTTAAGTGACTCTTGTTGCCAGTTCTCACGACACAATGTTCCTGTCTTATGGCGTTCCTTCATGAGGGAAATGGTTTCGTACTTCTCTCGACGCGAGTGGGTAACGAATTTCTTGAATTCATACATTTTCCTTCCTCCTTCGCAAGCTCTCTTGGCTTAAGCGCCAACGTTAGATAGATTTGTGTCTCTAAATCACTTGTCATGTGCATCTGTTGCTGTTATGTCCTGCTGTAATTGATAGCGCATACGTTATCAGATCTTATTCCAAACCAAAAAAAAGAGAAAACGATTCCTCATTTGAAAATCTCTAGCCCCGCTGTTTGGACACACTTTTCCGGACATCAATTCCTGTTCCCCTTCCCCTCCTCCTCCACCACCACCTCCGACGATCGATTGCCAGTTTCTATGTTTTCTAGCGGCAGAGGAAATTCAAAAGAGAACGATCCATCCCAAGGGACAAGTTATCTGGCACGGTTGTGTGCGCTACCTTGAGTATTGTTTGTAACAACTGAGTCTAAGTAAAGCTTATTTTTCCCTGATCTGACGTCGCTAATCTTTCTCAGAACAATTCGGCATCGCGAGTGGGTGGACTTGCCGCACTGCATCAGCTACAATGAATTTTAATTCCACCTACACCTGACAGCGAGAATTCGGGTCCGTCAGCGTCAGGCTGCTTATAAAAAATTGGTTGGATTGTTGGTGGAGAACCAGCTGTGTACCTTGTGCATGTGTGTGCAGGGGAGGTGAACTGTATAAGCTGCTTAGCTTTTTCCAAATTCTTATCGAGATGAAGTGTGTCTCCTCCGGGGAAATGATGACGTGTGTGAACTCTACCCAAATAGGACGACACAAACCCAAATAACACGCGAAAAGAAGAAACCACCACTGGCCAGCTCCTTCAGATAGTCTGTCCGGGGGTGATGTAACTGTGTTGTGAGTGGTATGCACTCTACCACTAGGTATCTGTAGGTGCGGTGCAGTATTCGGTCAACCAGTGCCTGCATATTACGTCAACCGATTATAGTTTGGGCCATAGGGTAAGTGTACCGGGAAAATAGCCCACGCGTCACTTCCCCTCGCCCTCAGTTAGGGGCATTCAACATGAGTTATCACATCTGTATGGATAAACGTTTCTGTTCAGACTCCTATTCTTATGAGTGTTGCCTGTAGAGTAAAATTGGACAGTGATTGTCATCCCAGAGGGGATGAAACAGGAATGTTCGCTCACACATGGCCAGGAGAATACTGTACAGGCGGCTTGTCCACAAACTGTGACCGATCAGTACTGTATGCGTTAGGGTTCGAGCCAACGGTTCTGTTATTCGCCACCTCAAGCTCTAAACCCGTTGATCTGCTGTGGCATGGTGGCTAACCGTACAGCAATGTATTTAACTTTGTGGGTTTCATGTTCACTCCCCCGTTTTAGACAGGTTGCAACTGACCACTTTGTTGATAGTTTCTATTCGAACACCCTCTACACATACGTCCGGGATTATCATGTTACCTAAATGGGTCGTACATTGTTCCCGTTACGCTGTGGTTTCAGCCCAGCACATACAGTGTTGGTAAGGTTCATCAACATTATGAGTGCCGTGTACGTTTTTCGCTCCTTCGAAGTTGCTAACTTCCGTTCCAGGTAAGTTATCGATCTGGTCAGTCACACCTGGTCTCCGTTCCTCAAACTTCATTCCGGTCAATTCGGTGGTTTTATTTCTGATATCGAGTTTTTCTAAAACGGCGTCGTGCCGCTCACAGCTCCGAACAACGTCCTAATCCAGTGACGATACTATATCATCCCGCCAGGAATACATTGATTTGTGTTCATAGTAGCTTATTGGGGAGTTCAGTACGAACCTGGAATTCTCGCATACCTCGACAACAATAAAAGGGTTTGCTCGGTCTATTGTAGAAGGCGGTTAATGTCTATTGCAGCAGATTGTCTAATCGTAAGCAGTGATGAAGGAAAGAGTACTGTAGAAATCGTGATGTTGGTTTTAAACTAATAACTCGTGTTCGAAACAAGACAGATCAACAGCGAATTGAGTTTTAGAATTGTGTGTGCGTACTGAACAAAGCCTTCCAAGACGAGCACTTCGATTCAACAGAAGAATCAGAAAAACTCAAATCAAAAGAATAACCAAATTCAAGCAACACAACTCCCAACAATTAGCGGTTAACGAAGTAAACCAAACAGACCAAAATGTAGATTATTTAGACGGCATGTATGCAATTTTAACCGGTTTTAAGTCTGGAAACCGTCCACAAACTTTGAATCCACCTTCAAACAAGGGAAAGTCTGCCAAAAACGGCGAATGTGCAGTCACTCAATTCAAAGACGGTTGTGGGTGGCTGTGTGATTCGTAGAATTGGCATTCATATTGTCGTTTGAACACTATCCCTTGGCTTAGCGCAATTTTTCGGGTTAATCCACACCAGGTCGTGAAGTATTGGACTACAGTAGCTCACCAGAAGTGATATCCATTGCTGTGCCCGGATTTGAACCCTGGACATCTGACTACCCAGTAAATGTCCGGGTTGTATCGATCCATCGACGGGCCTGTCAGGACTTTCCAGTCACAAGCCTGGGACGTGAATAATCAGTTGCGTCCAACGTGCGCTAGCGCAGTGGTGGTAACGCGCTCACTTCATGTGTTAGATGTTCTGAACTCTCTTGCCACACGGCCAAGGGCGTCATGGTGATTAACTCTAGTAGGGGGTGAAATTCGTGTTCGGTACTTACACTATTTGATATGGACTCATTAAAATGATCGTACCAGAGTGGAAGGAATATTTTGAAAAATTGTTATGTAACTTCATATTTAGATTTATCATTCGTGGTCAGGTTAGAATATTTTTTGAAACTTCAAAATATGCCTGAAAACTCGACTTTTTCATCCGAGATGCGCTGGTTTGAACCTACTTGCTATCCCTTCAATGTCTGCGGCGTCTACTCATGATGCTTAAAGCAATTCATTTAGCCTTGAAGTACACTTTTGCTCTAACATCTGTTTAGTTTGGACTGAAATACTTGCCACGTTTGAGCTTCAGTACCTCACCACCTTTCTCCTACTGTTTTCCTTCTGCCCTCAGCTCCGGATTAGATGGTGAGGCATTTCGAGTGACGGCTGAAGTGCTGTTGCAGATGGTGAGGCATTTCGAGTGACGGCTGAAGCTGCTGTTGCAAACTCCCTTCCTCCGGGCGAACATCCGGCTGATTTGCATTTTGTTACAATGGGCGAAGCGCAAGACACTTCACCGAAGGTGACTGAATCTATGATTCGCTCGCATACTGTAACGACCACGACCACCGGTTCGATGATCGTGACGTCATCACTGTCTGTCGCGACCACAGCGACACAGCCAACACTAGTGACTGTGTCTTCTGCCACTTCTGCTATCTCAGAAACCGCGACAAAGTCGGTTAGTGACCAAGCTCGCTTAGCAATGGCTCGAGACTCATTTCGTCAGTCCAGTGACCGAAGCCGTTTTTCAGGTACCCCTACTCCCGCGACAACTACCCACGCAATCCCGTCTGTTCTGCCCACCAACCTAACCAGTGTGCCTCCAGTTCAACAAGTCTTCAGACCAGGTAATCTGAAATCCGATTCAAATCACACAAACTACCAGAACTTTCCTCTTCTGTTATTTTCATTCCATATGCAGTCATGCCCAGGTACAGATGCACCTCAGGCTGGTGCATTTATTCCATAACACCTTCCAATGTGATTGTCGGCTGCATTGACTGAGGACAAATGAGTACTTGAATATTCCGATTTACGGATTCGCAGTGATCTCTCAAGAAAGATTGCCATCTGTGTGGGAAGAAGCAGGTCAGTGCATGCTTAGGAATCGTTGAACGCGGACAAACTCATCACAACAACCAAACAATTCATTTACACATATTTTCATGAAATTGATGTTGGCAAACACATTCTCGGGCTTTTTTGGGGATAAGCTTAAGGTATGAAATCAGTGGAGGGCTGCGGTCGAATAAATGGATGAAATTAAACCTAACAGTCGGTTAACGGATTCCGTGTATTGCGAACAGTATATCGACGTTACTGCTTACAAAGGCAGTGCTATTGTACATAGTCGTCCCAGAAGATATGTCAGTTGACATACTTCGAATATGAAAGTTCCTTCGAGACATTCTGCGCTAGACTGTGGCTCACGGGTATGTTTTTTGTGGAATACTGGAATGTCACGTCAGAGGTAACTGTTGTTTGGTTCCCATGACTAATTTTTGCAACAAATTTTAGACTTCCAGGTAGTCCGAGGCCTTAGGCGGAGATGCACTTGACTTACCGATACTTGGACATATCTGTTTGTCACGCGATGCTGTTTTTCATCTTTCTTTTTATTCAGATGCTCGGGCTCGCAGTACACAAGACCTGTCAGGACAACTAGGTCATGATAAACCTGCTGCTCCCGGAACTGGCCCATCCCTCTTTGCGTCTACAGCGACGCTTTCTCGATTGTGGAATGACTTATCTGCATTCAAACCGGTCGCCCGCTCTACCCCGACAACGGCACAGGTGGGTAGTTTTATACGAGGGCGTGAACCGGTGGTAGATAGCTCTCACTTTGTCTTGGAAACTAGCACCACCTTACGTGGTTCACCATTCTGAGCTTCTGGTCTTAATTTCTGGTTCATCTGTTTGGTTTCCTCTAGCTAATTTCATCAGATACTTTTTTCCGGAACGCGAATGACATGCAAAACATGATGATAAAGTTGGTCTACGAGGCCTACTCACCAAGGTATCAGCTAAAACTGCGACGGCGCTAGAAGTGACTTCCCGTGACCACTATCGTACAAAATACATACATACATACATACATACATACATACATACATACATACATACATACATACATACATACATACATACATACATACATACATACATACATACATACATACATACATACATACATACATACATACATACATACATACATACATACATACATACATACATACATACATACATACATACATACATACATACATACATACATACATACATACATACATACATACATACATACATACATACATACATACATACATACATACATAACATACATACATACATACATACATACATACATACATACATACATACATACATACATACATACATACATACATACATACATCATACATACATACATACATACATATGTACATACATACAAAATACGTAATACGTCATGCGGGGTTGATCTGGACTTGTTCTTCAATTCCGATCATCAAGCCCCCTAGTTGAATTGGTCTGTGACCTATCGCCTGAGTGATGGGTGTCCAAATAGTCTTGGGACTTGACCTCTCCACCCCCCTTCGTAACCCTTGTTCGTTCACCCTCACGTTGGGACTCGTTTCTTGGTCCTTTGGTCTGGTGCCCGAAACTGACTCAGTGTTTCCATTGCGTCGGTGGTTCCTCGCTCATAGCGTAGACGAGGCTGATTTCAATAAAGGAACAGCGCAACTATCAAAAGACAACCTCTTCCTATTATTTCCATGCGTCAAGATCTAGAAAAAGTGAAAATCGTGGCATGCCGATGTATAAGATCCGGTATGGATTTCCTAGAAGCAGGGTCACCCACAAACGATCCAACCAGCCGGCTTGAACCTATCTCTGCACCATTACGAGCAAAGGGCCGTCAACTGTATGGTAGCACTAAGTCGGCCTCGGGTATTGGACCAACGGATCAGGAAATAGAACTCATTGTGGAAGCAAGCGAACAAAGGTCACAATGGGAGAATGGAGAGGACAGATCCCAAACACCCATCAATCAGAAGACAGGTCAGATAACGGATCAATAACAATGCTCACTCAAACGATCGAGGGTTCGGCAAGGTCTACCTTAGTTAGTAGATGTTATGACAACCGGTGCACACGCAACAACCACGCACTTCTACTCACAGCACACTGAATTGGTGAGGAATCGTCCACAACCGAATTGCCTGGCTCAGCGAACAAACCAGCGACCATTCGGTCTTCTGCTCTCCGCTGATTTGGCACCAGTATCCATTCTGTAACTGGTTTTCATATTTTACGATCACCGTGTTATTATTCACCCGATTGCAATCAAGCTCAAGCCATTGTCCACACGAGCTCAGGAGCCCTGTTGCCTGGGAAAGCCACAAAATAAACTCCGATCGTGGATACAAGTTTAGCGGTAGGATTTCCCCAAACATTCGTGTGGAAGGTAGCTTTCTGTGTATATAGTATTAATGGAGATCAACCGAGGGCAAATACGGGAATCACATGGAATGGATATCCGGCCATCTCAAATTACTAGCATGTAATTGGGGTGAGATCCAGAAACTGTGGTGTTTGTCGGATTTGAAACTCAGGGGTGGGCATATTGCTATCTGGCTTTATGCAATTTGCTGAACTCCCCGGCCATGTTATTGTCTTCCGTGCCATCAGTGCCTCTCTCTTGTTGGCCCAGCACTTGGGAGTGATGACTCCGTTCGGTTTTGTCTGTAGCATCTGCTCGTCACATGGCACCAACATCCCCGGATATCCCCAATAAAATTTTCAAGCATCGACGCTCAGTCTATTTGGCGACATTCAATGTCCGCACTCTGAAGCAGGCAGGACAACAAGCTGCTCTTGCTCTCACACTGGACTTGCCTGGCGCTGATATGTGTTGTGTCTCAGAAACAAGAATTCAAGGTGCAAGCACAGTGGTTGAGCTAACCGCCCCATAACTCTCCTCTTGCTTCCGTCTCTGCACCTCTGGTGTTGCAGAAGCTGCTGCGACGGGATCGTCCTGAGTTACCGGGCGGGAGGATCCTTGCTTGACTGGATAACTTGATAGTCACCTCTGTGCGATTCGTTTGCCAGCGTCTGTGAAGGAGTCTCACAAGCGGAAAGTTGATCGATGTCCGCTTACGCCTCAAATGAATGTGGCACAGACGCTATCGAAGACAGGTTGTACGACGTCCCGAATGCCCTGTTGCGGCGTGCTTAAATCTCAGATTTTGTAGTGGTTGCCGGAGATCTGAATGCACAAGTGGGCACGCTTAAGGTATCTGAGACTCAACTAGGAGACTGATTCGAATTGGACTCGATACATACGGACAATGGTGAACGATTGCTTCAGCTGTGTGCTGACCGCAGACTGTTTTTATGCAGTATTAACTTCCAAAATAGCCGACGTTGTCTTGCCACATGGTGTCTTCCAACGGCATGCCGACCACAAACTCAAATCCATCACACTGTCATCAGTTACCGATCGCACGGATCAGTAACTGGCTACCGGTCGTTTTGGAACACATTTGTGGATTCTGACTACGCACTCGTCCGGAGTTGCTTCTTTCGTTTTCCAGGGCCGCGTAAGGTGCGAACAGATTGCTCAGCAACTGAGAGACTGGCAGATCCGGATGTTAGACGAGCTCTCTAGTGTCTTTTCCAAGTGTTCCACCATCAGATGTTAACTCATACTGGGACGAGACTGTCACCTCTTTGCATAGTGCTGCGAGTTTTGCCTGTTGCACAACACACCAGGCTCACCCAAGCCCTGAATACCAGACCTAACGGTGGCACTACCTGAATCCTGAAGAATTATCCCAGCCGGTCCCGAACGTAAAATTTGGTCACTGCTTATCTATTATCCGCCACATTTGATGCGGCCAAGACAGATGTTCCCTCGTTTCCTCAAAGTCAGTCTTCCTACCGCGAGGACAAATAAGGCGGTTCATCAATTCCAGTACTTGTGTACAGCTGGATAAATCAGTCAGATGTCCAGAAAACTAGCAAAAAGAGTATGAGTATACCCACTGGTGGAACGGCCAGGAGTAGAGGAAAACTTCAAAAGCGTCATTCCTGAAAGCTTGATTTACTCGAATCACTGCATCAAACTGGGGCTGTACCCCGGACTGTGCGCTCCAGTACAAATCTATTGTTATCAAACGGAGGATATATAGCACGATTGAGGCCTGTGCTAACAAAACTAATCCGTCCTGACTCAACCACACTAAAGAGATTTCCCACCCAACGACTGATGACCGGAAATGTGACACGTGACTTTTACAATCCACTGCACTGATAAAGAGGAACCTACAGTTGACAGGTTGGTCTTGGTCTTGGACAGAAGACTTTCCAAGCCCTAGTGCATTGGGGGCGTATTTTGACTAAGCAAAAAGGCTTTTGCTTTGTGAACCCTACCCAACAAAAGTCCAGTACACGGTGATGCAAACCTTGGCCTCTAGTTGAGAACAGCTGACTTCCTCTCATGGTATCTGGTTAAACGAATTCTTCTTTTATTTGCATTCCTGAAAGAACCTGTGTACCGATGCACCACAAATGTGCAACTCATGTTCAACGGTGAACTGTATCACTCATGCTTGAGTGTCGAGGATGAGCACAAACAACCCGCCGATGTTCTCTTTACTGCCAGAATGCCGATGACATTTTATACTGGAACAGATCAAGAGGTTGGAACTTTTAACACTGCTCTATCATGTTTACCTTCGGGTTCGAACAATAAGGTATTTTTGCAGTCCTGGATTGGGAATTTTGCCGAAATATCTGTCGTAAACCTAACTGCATGGACGTGTTACAGAAGACGAGGTTTATAGCCGTGGACCTAAACACGTGTTCTTATGAACCTTTCCAGTCGATGCTCGATCCTATTAAGGACGTAATACGTCGAAACCGCTATCATGTATGAGGAAGAACATACGACTATAAGCAAAAGGCAACAGTGTTTGACAATTTTAAACAAGGAACTATTTATTAGCCCTCTATTCATAAGTGAAATCTTGAGAGGTATTTGGTCACTGCTTATCTATTATCCGCCACATTTGATGCGGCCAAGACAGATGTTCCCTCGTTTCCTCAAAGTCAGTCTTCCTACCGCGAGGACAAATAAGGCGGTTCATCAATTCCAGTACTTGTGTACAGCTGGATAAATCAGTCAGATGTCCAGAAAACTAGCAAAAAGAGTATGAGTATACCCACTGGTGGAACGGCCAGGAGTAGAGGAAAACTTCAAAAGCGTCATTCCTGAAAGCTTGATTTACTCGAATCACTGCATCAAACTGGGGCTGTACCCCGGACTGTGCGCTCCAGTACAAATCTATTGTTATCAAACGGAGGATATATAGCACGATTGAGGCCTGTGCTAACAAAACTAATCCGTCCTGACTCAACCACACTAAAGAGATTTCCCACCCAACGACTGATGACCGGAAATGTGACACGTGACTTTTACAATCCACTGCACTGATAAAGAGGAACCTACAGTTGACAGGTTGGTCTTGGTCTTGGACAGAAGACTTTCCAAGCCCTAGTGCATTGGGGGCGTATTTTGACTAAGCAAAAAGGCTTTTGCTTTGTGAACCCTACCCAACAAAAGTCCAGTACACGGTGATGCAAACCTTGGCCTCTAGTTGAGAACAGCTGACTTCCTCTCATGGTATCTGGTTAAACGAATTCTTCTTTTATTTGCATTCCTGAAAGAACCTGTGTACCGATGCACCACAAATGTGCAACTCATGTTCAACGGTGAACTGTATCACTCATGCTTGAGTGTCGAGGATGAGCACAAACAACCCGCCGATGTTCTCTTTACTGCCAGAATGCCGATGACATTTTATACTGGAACAGATCAAGAGGTTGGAACTTTTAACACTGCTCTATCATGTTTACCTTCGGGTTCGAACAATAAGGTATTTTTGCAGTCCTGGATTGGGAATTTTGCCGAAATATCTGTCGTAAACCTAACTGCATGGACGTGTTACAGAAGACGAGGTTTATAGCCGTGGACCTAAACACGTGTTCTTATGAACCTTTCCAGTCGATGCTCGATCCTATTAAGGACGTAATACGTCGAAACCGCTATCATGTATGAGGAAGAACATACGACTATAAGCAAAAGGCAACAGTGTTTGACAATTTTAAACAAGGAACTATTTATTAGCCCTCTATTCATAAGTGAAATCTTGAGAGGTATTTGGTCACTGCTTATCTATTATCCGCCACATTTGTTGCGGCCAAGACAGATGTTCCCTCGTTTCCTCAAAGTCAGTCTTCCTACCGCGAGGACAAATAAGGCGGTTCATCAATTCCAGTACTTGTGTACAGCTGGATAAATCAGTCAGATGTCCAGAAAACTAGCAAAAAGAGTATGAGTATACCCACTGGTGGAACGGCCAGGAGTAGAGGAAAACTTCAAAAGCGTCATTCCTGAAAGCTTGATTTACTCGAATCACTGCATCAAACTGGGGCTGTACCCCGGACTGTGCGCTCCAGTACAAATCTATTGTTATCAAACGGAGGATATATAGCACGATTGAGGCCTGTGCTAACAAAACTAATCCGTCCTGACTCAACCACACTAAAGAGATTTCCCACCCAACGACTGATGACCGGAAATGTGACACGTGACTTTTACAATCCACTGCACTGATAAAGAGGAACCTACAGTTGACAGGTTGGTCTTGGTCTTGGACAGAAGACTTTCCAAGCCCTAGTGCATTGGGGGCGTATTTTGACTAAGCAAAAAGGCTTTTGCTTTGTGAACCCTACCCAACAAAAGTCCAGTACACGGTGATGCAAACTTTAGCCGGGAACAGCTTTGTCACCGTCCACCGCAAACCTTTTGGAACCAGCGCTGAAAGTGGGATGTGAGTCCATCTTTCGAAGTCACTGTGGGTATGCACAGACACGCCCATGTCAGTGTGATGAGCTTTTTACTATTCCAGGGAATCCATTTCAGTGGACAGTGCTCACCTGAGCAAAACACCTACAATTCCGGACTTTAGTCAGTTTTCCGTTGGAAAACTTTCGAATTCGTGTTCAGGTTGAAAATTTATCCAGACTGGTCACAGTGGAGAACTGTAAGCGTGGACGTAAATTATACAACCTAAGTCATCACTTCTGGAGGTCAAAAATCAAATGACGGGATGCGTCCTCGTCTAGATGCTGTTCGGTTCGCTCCATTTGTGTGACTACATAATTTACTGCAAACGTTCACGACTGTCACTTGAGTTTAGTTTGCACCAGGAAGTCGGTATGTGCACCAAACATACGCTCAATTTATTCCAAACTGTTGATAAGATACGAATGTGCTCCGAAAGACTGCTAACCGTTTCCGTCATGACTAGCGGAGTAGATAAACTCGTCCAATTGCTCCCCCTCCACACGTTTCAAATACGATGAAAATGGGGTCCAGTTGTGTGTTACCCTTCGCTTAGGAAGGTGAAGGAAATGTGAATCGGATTTGCGTTAAAACGGTGCGCGGTGTAACCAATCATCAGGTGTTCATAGAGAAGTCTATCATGTGACTATCGGCAATAGGCTGCTGATCAGCTTGCTACACGGCTGTTAATCAGCTAACAAATCGCTCGGGCAATTTTTCCGCCCATGGATACATTTCTCATCACACTTGGACTGGTAAGTAATATTTCTTTACTTAACTGTCGTTTTATGGAGAATATTCCGTCTAAGTTCTACACATCAGCATTTACGTAGTTTCACCAGAGGCCTTTATCTTATCACCGGACAGCACAGCCGTTTTCCGCAGACACTGCCAGTCCTTTCATAACTTCCATTCTTCGAGCTGGACAGAGGAAGGATGAGTTAAACTGGTTCGCCTTGTAGTGAAGCTGGCCGTTCACTAAAGTGAAAATCATGCCTAGTTGATTCTACAAACCTCCCACAACTTCATGCAAATTTCTTTAAGTATTCTCCAACCCAGCTCTTAATAGCACGTCAATTGTACAGAACGCGTATTGTGAGATTCAGGGTGGCCTCGAATTCCGATCACCCAGCTTTTCACCATTTCTCGTTGTCTATTGCAGAGTGTTCCAAAGCCATTTGCAGTTTCAACTTCTGTGCCCAGCACAAGCCAGGCTCAACCAAGCTCTTCTTTCTTCGGTCGCATTTTGGCTTCTATTCCAAATGTTTCGTCGGTCACTGTTCCACCTCATGTGCCTACCTTCCCGCTCCATTCACCGACGGTCCCTCGGCAGTCTCCGGCGACCTCAACACCGTCGTATATCTCTGTCTCTTCTGTCCCTGTTTCTACGATTACCACACCCCCTCTCGTATCACCGGTCTTTTCATCGCTTATTCCACCCCCGAAAGCCGTGACATCATCTTCAACTCTTGATAAACCTCTAATTCCAATCTCGACTGGTGGGTCGTTGTCCCCATATTCTTCGACTACGCGGGCTTGTTCACCCCTTGTTGACAGTATCAAGGTTTCCTGTGCTCAGTACACTGATCGTATGATTTCCTCTGCATCGGACCAAGCAACCTCTGAATCGATTGTTCCCCCCACTGCGACTGGCGCTATCTCATCTCGGGCTTTCGAGGACGGGTATTCGACTTCTGATGGGTTCGTTGATTCTGAACTTAAGAACTCTGGGACAAGAGAACCGTTTATTCGTAGATTCTCGGGTCTTTCGAGCTCATTTGATGAAACGATTATGGACAAGCTTCCTCCCTTTTCAGCTGAAGAACATTTACGCCAATTGAGGGTTCGTGCTGGTCTTGAACCGCGCTATCCAGCTGACTTGGAACACGTCTTCTCGCAGATGCTGCATCCAGCCGGCGCATCATCTCAACCCGGACCAGCATCCTTTTCAGTGACAACGCCCGCATCTGTTCCAAAGCCTCTACCTCCCTCTTCTAGTACGCTTTTTGATACTACACATATGCACATCAAGTCCCCACAACTTACCCCTTCCAAATTTGGAACACCTCAATTAACCAGCGTATCAACTCCGTCGATACCCAATTTATTTGCCAACATCAAGGCTGGACTTGATAGTGGTTTAGGTCAGTCGGTTCAACGCAAACCGACGGCGCAACAGACAGCACCGTCACAAATCAAACAACCCCAAGCTGGTTTTGGCTTTGGTGTTAAGTCCCTCCCAACCAGTTTGTTTAGCAACTTTTTGTCATCTGCAGCCTCCAAGGCACAAACAGTCGCGGCCGGCGCAGTTAGACAGGCTAACGCCGCTGCGGATGCAGCTAGGGAGGTAGCGAACCAGGCTGCGGTTCAGTTGTCGGCACCAACGCCTAAAACCACTCAACAAGCACCAGCACGGCAGCCTCCGTCGTTGTTAATCACAGAAGCTTCATCGATTGAAAAGGTTGAGAAAGAACAACCACCACAACGTGATATTGGTATTCCTCGTTCTTTTGACGAACCGTTCGCTCCGAGTACGGACGGAAGACCAGCTCCAGTTGGGCAAGAAGAGCCGGGTGATGCATCCGACACCACGACGAAGTGTATACTAGATGCAGGTCACGGCACGATTGGTTCCGCGGTTCCCCAAGAACGGCAATGGTTACATGAACAGACGATGGACGTCACTTCAGATGATGACTATGACGATGATATGTTTGATCGTATGCAGACACTTTCAGACGGATATGATTCATCTACTGGAATTGGTGGAAACTTTGATGCACCGAAAGATCGCCAATTTACAGATAGAAAAGCTTCGATAACTACGCAAGACAGTCTGGCTGATACTAACTTAGATGTGGATGGACAGAGAGCACTGCTTGCGCGCGACAGGATGTTGATGGCAGCTGCTACGGGCGTGCACTCCCCAGTGCATAAGGGTCCAGGCGAACCTGGCTACTTCGATGGCTTGATATCTGAGATGGGAACAGCAAAGAAGCCGGGTAAGCTCATTTGATTGCTTCCATATCGTCTTAAAATAAATGAATAAATAATGATCAATCGGTGCTGCCACCCGAATGAAGCATGAGGGCTAAGACACTGCCAGGTCGCCCAAGCCTAGACAGGAACAATTAAGTTGAGTTCAAACTACAGTAAGTTCGGGCCTTAACCAGTGAGCTTCCTCAAGCTCGCTGGAGTAAACCCCCTTCCAGGTGAGTTAATCTCGGGAAATCAATAACTTTTCCTGTGAAATTTCCGAGGGACTAGTCTTTTCTAAGGGACCGAAGTACCTACGTTTGTTTCCGGTTTGTGCACCCTCATGATAACAAAGGGTCTCAAATGTTTTCAACGTTTGTGTTCCGTCTACTTTCCCATTGGCCAATAGCTACTGTGCACAAGAGTCCTGAATCCGAACTGAGAAGTTTTTTCACGAGCTGATGGTTAGGAATCCTCTGACAAGATAGTTCCAGAGCAACGGCTGAAAGCTCGGGAGCTAAAGGTCAACAAATTGTTTCATCTCTTCCAGATTTTCAAACGTGCAATCACATCCTTCTCTCGAACTTTTCTGCTGGTAGTTTGAAACCGCATCTTCTTGTATAAGTGTACATTAATTGCGGTTTCAGTTATTCACCAAAAACCTTAACGATAAGCTATTTCCCCGGACTATTGGTTTGTGGTTCCCTCCCTCTCTTGCGAGTAGGGTCAAATTGTAAGCCGGTTTAATCGTTATCATTTTGTTTGCATCTTCCCATGTAATCCGCTATCTATGTAAACATTTCCATAAAGCTGAAACATCCGTTCGCCATATGGTTATTCGTCTGGAAACTGAGCCTTCCATTGCTCAGTCGGCCCGTATCACATGTAAGATGGACTCAATAAACGGGGGCGAGAG